AGTCATCATCCAAGAGGGCATGCACATCATGGAGAGTAGCAAACTCTCCCATTCCCTTCTCTAAAGTTTCTTGCTTTTTAATGCTTCTCCTGTCTGAACCACTTGAGTTTCCAACTTCTTCACATATGTGCTCAATCCATCAAGCTTGGTGTTGAGGTTAGTGTAGATAGAATCGATCTTTCCATTGAAGTCCAACTGAAGTTTCTACCGACTCTCCAAAACTTTGTCTAACATTTCTTCTAGCTTACTGTCTTGGGTGGGTGGGGGTGGATTTGTGTAGAATGAGTTACCATAACTCCTGTTGTTGTTGGGGGTTGCTGCTGCAGTAGTTGGTAGGCCTCTGTGAACTCTTGTTGAAGTTGCTCTTCCGTCCTGTGAAGTTTCTGTATCCTCCTTGGTTTCCAGGCCTCTAAAAACCAGCTCCACTGATCCAGTTCACATCTTCTTCTGTGTATTCCTCTTCAGCTGCAGTTTCTGCATCCTCCACTAAGCAAATATGCTTGTTTAGTGGCTTTTGAACATGATCCAGCTGTGCTTGCTCTTCATTAATTTGTTCCTTTCCAAGGACTGATGTAGCTTTTCTCTTTATAATATTCTTTGTGCTGTTGCTTGAAGCTAAGTTATCAATCAACTTCACAGCTTCTTGAGGATTCCTGGTGGTAAAATTGCCTTCACTAGCTGTGTCAAGAGCCATCTGATACTTCAAAGTGATGCCTCTGTAGAAAGTGCAGAGCAGTTGCACGTTATTGAAACCGTGGTGTGGACAATCTCGCTGGTAGGATTTGAATCTGTTCCATGTGTCCTTAAACGATTCTCCAGGATCTTGAGTGAATGTAGAAATCTTCCTCCTCCATTCTACGCAGGAATGCGTTTTTGATGTCATTCCAGGTTGTGAGAGAACCTGGTGGTAGTTGTTTTAGCCACTGCAAAGTTTCTCCAGATAGAGAGTATTTGAAAAGCTTGCAGAGAAGATAGTCTTGAGGGACTCCATTGGCTTTGATGACGGTTATGAGATCCTCGAACCTCTCCATATGGTCCATAGGATGCTCATGGGACAACCCACAGAAGGTTATTTGTCCTACAAGTGTGTAGTACTGCGGCTTGAGCTCGAAATCTCCTCTCTGGATAGCAGGGGGGCATATGGCTGATCGGTTGGTGTAGAACTGATCCGGACGGTTGTAGTCAGCCAAAGTTCTGGCTCTGTTAGCCTCTTCTACAGGTTGAATAAGATCTGTAGGCGCAGTCTCTTGCTCAGGAATAATCTCCTTCTGAGCATTCAGCTTCTGACCTGCTGCATTACGCAGGTGACCATCTTGATCACGCAGGTCTCCATTCTCATCAGTAGTGAGAATAATAGTCGCTACCATGTCTCGCCGGTTAGTATCGATCGATGAAAGATGAGAGATATCGATCGATGTCGGATGAAAGGTATCGGTCGACGAACGGTTGTTGATGTCGATCGATGGAAGGGTGCGAGTATCGGTCGACGTTGAAGGTGTCTCGGTCGACTTTGGTAAGCGAGTATCGATCGATGTACGGTTGCTGATATCGATCGATGTGAAACGTAAGTCTTTGCGGACGCTGTGTTCCAAACTGTGAGGGTCTTCTGAATACACAAGTTGGTTGTTCTTGTTGCTTCTAGTACTGCTGGGCATGTACCTAAAAGAGACAAGAAAAAAAAAATTTGTGTCAGAAGATTATTAAGCAATAAAAAGAAAAATAACCTAGACCTAATCAGATTAAATCTAATGGCGATCTTAGTTCCCCGGCAACGGCGCCTAATTTGATATCACTCAAATTGCCCTAAGGAGTGAATTACTCTCTCAAATAAGCGGTTCAATTGTAGTACTTAGGGATCAAATCCACAAGGAACTAAGGAACAAAAAGGTATAATCCTAAGTGACTATGCTATTATGGTTTAAAAGATAAATTGCAGTTGTAAGCAATGGTAAGTTGCTCAAGAGAGTTTGGTTTGGGTTTTAAACAATAAAAGAAAGTAGTTAGATTCAAGGTTACTATTCAGATAATCAGGATTATAATGCTATAGATGTCTTTATAAGTTGTTTGCAAGATATTAAAGAACTTCAATTCTTAGATAAATCTATAGCTATTGTTATTAGACTCGTCCATTGATCTGACTGCCGACAATATCGATCGATATTGCTATAGCAACGTCGATCAATATATACTTGTTGTCGATCGATTACTCTATAGGAGTATCGATCGATACAGCTTCAGATCGAATCAAAAGTGTTCACCAAGATCATAGACCGGCTCTCGCATCGTGCCCTAGAATTTCAGCTTATACTAGATGATTTCAGGATGATGATTAACAAGTTAAATCATTCCATGATCATACTCTAGTTAGCTATTCTAGAGTAAGCATTAGGGTTCATCAGGATAATGAATATCACAACTCAACAATCCATAGTTGCGGCTAATCCCTCATAACTATTTGAATCCTAAATCTAACAAATGAATCTACTCAGACATGGCTAAGTAATTCATAGCAGCAAGGTAATAATAGAAATTCATTAGATTAGAAGATTGAACTCTTGGTTCTTTGAACAACAAATCTCTTTGTGTGTTTATTCTAAATCTAGAATTATATAACCTTTATGAAAATGAGAATAAGATGAAAAGAATACTTTTATAAATCAAAGAACATAAAAAGTATGAAAAGCACAAAAGCATGTAAATGCATAAAAAGCATGTCTAGCCAAAACACATAGGCAAAACTATAAATATGAGTTCCATTAGGTTAAAAACTTGTCTGGGGAAACCTTGTAATATTGAGAAAACTTGGGCTTCAAGTCGGCCAAGTCAAACATGTTCTTCACGCTTCATATCGATCGATGGTACATGGTGTACATCGATCGATCGAGTATCCAAAATCATCTTCTATGGAAGCGTCGTCGATCGATTACACAAGATGTGTATCGATCGATATGTATCGATCGATATGTATCTCTGGATATCGACCCTATTGTCTGATCTTCATAATCATCTCTGGAAAACTCTCCTTTAAGCTTTATAAGGGCACCTAAATCATCACTTTACTCCAAAATGCTCCTGAACTTGAAAACATACCTAATAGACTCCAAAACATATATATATATATATATCATAAAATCATATAAATACCATGGTCAAAAGTGGGTCAAAACCGTGGTATATCAAAATGCTTCCAAAGATTTTCATGATTTGCCATTTTCGAGTTGTTGCATTTTCGACAAAGACAAAACATCTTACCACTTTCTTGGGCGAGCGGTGTCAAATCTGCTTGATTTATAAAGCTCTCCAGCCCTTCGAGATATTCTTTCCTCACTCTCCCGTTAGCATCTCTATGCATATACATCCATCTCCGCAACTCGAAAATATTCCCGCAACCCGACATTTTTTTTTTAACGTTTTTTTTTGTTGTTGGTGTGTTTAAAATGATGTAGCAACATCCTTTTTATAGGGAAATTTCGAATCTGGTAGTTTAAACTTTACTTGGAATTTGCGACGAAACATTTAAATTTTACTTCGACTTTACGACGAAATCTAATTAGGTAGCCGAATATTAAGAAAGTGCAGGCCTCGTAAAGTGGATGCAGTGTTTACGTGTCCTTTACGACGAAACTTTGTTTCCTCGTAAGCACCACGTTAAATTATGTATCGATAACGAGGAAACACTTTCCACGTCATTTTACGACGAATTAACGTAGAAATATAATTTCCTCGTAAACTCCACGTGTAGTCGACAAAATTTTACGACGGAAAGTTTTCCTCGTAAAATCTCGTCGCTATAGCCGTATTTTCTTGTAGTGACCGTGGATTAAACAAACCTACTCCACCGCTACTAAACCTCGAGATGTGATGAATTTTGTGTCAATTTGTCTGAATTATGTCAGTTTGTCTGCATTATGTCTTTGTATTGTCTTTTATAGGATCATCTTTTCGATAAACTTTTTTTTAGTTTGCACTGACTTATATTAAAATTAAATTCCAACATTATGTCAAAGTTATGTGCGTCCAAGTAAACAAATACTATATATTTTAGGTTAAGTATTTATTTGTATGAAAGTTGAAACGAAACAGATATATAGTATATAATCACCCAAGCCGAAAAGCAAGTTTTTCTCTCTCTCTCACCTTCTCTCTAGAAGTTCTCTAAATCAAGGGAAATTGCCAGAAATAACACTTTCAAGATACCACTTTTCAACTTTACACTAACCAACTTTACCATTAAAATTTTAATACTCAAAATACTATTAGAATTCAGGGTTTAGGGTTTTGGGTTTAGGATTGATGGTTTAGGGTTTAGTGTTGATTTTTTAGGGTTTAGGGTTTACTTTTTAGGGTTTAGAGTTTAGGGTTTAAGGTTTAGAATTGATATTTTAGGGTTTAGGGTTGATTTTTAGGGTTTAGAGTTTACTTTTTAGGGTCTAGAGTTTATAATTGATGTTTTAGGGTTTAGGGTTAATATTTTATTTAATATTTATTTTATGTATATATATAAAGAACAAAGATATAAGAGTCTTTTATCCTTTAATAAAATGTGTATTTTTGAAAATGTTCCTTTGTTGATGGTAAACATGAAAAGTAGTATCACCAAAGTGGTATTATTGAAATTCTCCCCTAAATCAAAGTTGCATCTTCGGTGGCCGGAGGCCTTGTGCCACCGGTTACCAACTTTTTTGTTTTTTTTTTGTTTATGCTGTAAAATAACTCTTCGCTAGGTGATTTCAGTTTTCGTGAGCGGATCTCTCTTTTCGCAAGGTGGTTTTGTGGTGTTTCAACTTAAGTAGGAGCCGTTTCTCATGTCTATTCACTCTTCTCCATGTTAAGTTGAATAATAAACTTCCAATCATAGATGATTGGATTATCAAAGCCTTTCACTTTGTTTTCCAACTTAATCCCGTTTATTATATGCCATGCCAGATGTTTTTGTTTTACTGTTCACTTGCATCTCTTTCTTAAGAGAATCAGTCTCTGTTTTATGTGATTATCCTCATATGGCTGTCTCACAGAGCATCTTGGATGAAAGAAGATCAAGTTTGATGGATCTTTTGAGTTTTGTTTCATGCGGATTCAGGAGAGTTGGCGCTTTGACGCGGTCCGACAAAGAATCTATCTTCAATCTGACTCATACTTCCTCCGATGAAATTTCCGGTGAGAAAAACCTCTCTGTTTATGTAATCACAGGTTTGGTGAAAGGCAATCTTGACAGTAGAGTATAAGAATTAACTGCCAAGTTCTGCGGTGGTTGGGCAGACGAAGACGTACCGGCGATTTGCTCTAACTGGCGGTGGATTCAAGGTAGTGTGCATGAGAAGAAAGCCAATGTGTTGCCACGTTGGCGAAACTATATATTCGGCTTACTCGTGCTTAGTTGAGTATTATATTTTATGAGTTGGGCTTTTTACGTCTAATATTGTACTCTTCTTTGTTTCAAGGGAAATTGCCAGATATAGCACTTTCATGATACCACTTTTTATTTATACCTTAACCAACTTTACCTTTAAATTTTTAATTGGCAAAAGACCCTAGTACCCTTGATAAACCTAGTCTTCTCCGTCTCTTTTCTTCATCGCCGACGAGAGATTCAGACGACTCCGGCGAAACATAAACCTATTCTTCCTCCATCTTGTTTCTTCATCGCTGACGAGAAATTCAGACGACTCCGGTGAGATTCAAGGACTCTGGCGAGATTCAACGACTCCGGCGAGATTCAACGAACCCGGCGAGATTCAACGAATCCGGCGAGATTCAACGATTCCGGCGATCCCCCTGTGTGATTCAACGACTCCGGAAAAATCAAAGCCCATATTTACGTCAATCAAAGATCAATAGCGTTGGGACGAACGATCTAGAAACGGCGGCAACGGTACAACGATTTTTTAGCTTGATTTCTTAATCTCGTTGAAGATCATATGCATAACTGTGTGTTTAGTGTTGTTCTCGATCAGTTTCTGGGAAGGAGATGAAATTTTTTTTCATGAATTTTATAAATCCCTTATTTATAATGCCTTATAAATATTGTATTAGACGAATACAACGTTTCTTTAGCTTGATTTCTCAATCTCGTCGAAGAGCATATGCATAACTGTGTGTTTAGTGCTATTCTCGATCAGTTTCTGGAAAGGAGACGAATATTTTTTCATGAATTTTATAAATCTCTTATTTATAAGGCATTATAAATATTGTATTAGACGAATACAACGTTTTTTAGCTTGGTTTCTTAATCTCGTCAAAGAGCATGTGCGTAACTGTTTGTTTAGTGCTGTTCTCGACCAGTTTCGGGAATGGAGACGAATATTTTTTCATGAATTTAAAAATCTCTTATTTATAAGGCATTATAAATATTATATTAAGACGAATATTTTATGTTTCAGGGTACTATGGCTGAGATTTGTGCTGTTTGCGGAGAATGGAAACTCGTAAATGGAAATCACTGTGATTTCATAACTGACGATGAACTAGGATCTTCCATTAGTATGATTCCTAAAGACATTAGGTTCAATGATTTAGTTGGTTATTTGCTAGAAGATTTTGATATTGACTCCAACAGAAACAATGTGAAGCTTAGTTATCCATCTCTTTCAAAAGTAAATTTTGGAAGTAAAGATATTCCTCCAGTGTTTATCAGGAACGATCGACATCTTTCGACGTATCTGAATAAACTACAACAAAATGGAGGTCTTCATCTTTGTTTAACAGTAAAGGCAAGTACACATATTTAGAAGGCTTTATAAAACTATTTTACAAGATTCATTTACTAACTTTATATTTTTATGTTTCAGAAGGAAACACGGAATAAAGTTTTAATTACCCATGATTTGCCAAATGCTCGAGGAACACAACTATCACCATTGATTATGCCGAACCAGACTCAGACACGTGATGAAATGTCCAGTAATCGCAATTCGCCTATTGCTGGAAGTAGTAGTGCATTTGAGGTACTTTTCAACACTGTTTTATCTTAATGTTCATAATAATAAGGTATTATAAATTGTTTAAGAAAGTAGATCTCTATCTAATTTTGTAGCAAGGAACACAATTTCTCCCTGAGACTGAATGGAACAATATTCAGAGAGTTGATGAATTATCAGGAATACGACATAATCATATTTAGAAGGCTTTATAAAACTATTTTACAAGATTCATTTACTAGCTTTATGTTTTTATGTTTCAGAAGGAAACACAAAATGAAGTTTTAATTACCCATGATTTGCCAAATGCTGGAGGAACACAACTATCATCATTGATTATGCCAAACCAGACTCAGACACGTGATGAAATGTCCAGTAATCGCAATTCGCCTATTTCTGGAAGTAGTAGTATATTTGAGGTAATTTTCAACACTGTTTTATCTTAATGTTCATAATTATAAGGTATTATAAATTGTTTAAGAAAGTAGATCTCTATCTAATTTTGTAGCAAGGAACACAATTTCTCCCTGAGACTGAAAGGAACAATATTCAGAGAGTTGATGAATTATCAGGAATACGACATAATCATTATGTATCTCCTTCAAGTTGTCTTGTTAGTAATAAGGCACATATAAATTTTGGAGTATAATCAATATCTTATAATGAGTTTTAAATTCCATTGTAACTCCTTTTTTATGTTCATGTTTCATTTTTTTTTGGTCTTTAGAGAAGATTGAACTTGATGGGTCCTGTTGTAGATGGATCTGAAAGTTCTAAATTGTCATCTTTTTCTAGCAGACGTGGTCAACAAATTTTGGGAGAAGAGTCACATTCTTTTTCAGAGATCTCGTCTCCTAACTTGTGCTACAAATCAGTGTGATGACACTGATGATTTGTTCTGCGGGAAGTTTTTTAAGGACAAAAAGGAAATGAGCACGAAGTTGTAGTCGTTTGCAGTTAGTCAAAGCTTTGAGTTCCGCACAGAATACTCAGACAAGAAACGTTATATTCTTACTTGTGTGGAAGAAAAATGTAGTTGGAGTTTGCGTGCAAAATCAGTGAAAGGCTCTGAGATGTTTATTGTGCGTCATTATGTATCTAAACATACATGTGACACTTCTCTGAGAAGTGTTAAACATCGGCAAGCTACTACGAAACTATTGGGAAGTATGGTCAGCAATCATTATGAAGAAGGAAAGATTGGGCTGAAACCAAAACAGATCATAGAGAAGGCTAGAAAAAATCATGATGTTTTGATTTCATATTCAAAGGCTTGGAAGTGTCAAGAGCACGCCTAAGATCTAGCTAGGGGTACTCCTGATGACATTTATGAAGCTTTGCCTAGCTGGTTTCACATGTTAAAAGATAAGAATCCAAGTTCTTTGACTTTTATCGATGTAGATTCTGTTGGGAAATTCAAATATGCCTTTTTGTCGTTTGGTCCATCTATCAGAGGGTTTAAGCTGATGAGGAAGGTGATTTCTATTGATGGTGCCCATCTGAAATCAAAGTATAAAGGGACTCGTCTTACTGCAACAGCACAAGATGGTAATTTCCACTTATATCCTATAGCTTTTGTTGTAGTTGATCCTGAGAATGAAGCCTCATGGAGTTGGTTTTTGATGTGTTTGAAAACAATCATTCCTGATGAAGAGGATTTGGTATTTGTCTCTGATCGTGCTCAATCTATTGAAAGTGCTCTTTCACAACACTATCCCCTTGCTCATCATGGAATCTGCATGTTCCATTTTGAAAAAAATGTCCTCGACAAGTTCAAGAGTTCAACCCTCACCCCATTGATTGTTGAGGCGGCTTATGCATACATCAAGGAGGATTTTCATTATTATTTTAATGAGATTCAGCAAGCAGACCCTGAAGTAGCAAACTATATTCGTAAAGCAGACTTCAAGAAGTGGTCACGAGCATATTCTTCTGCTAATCTTTACAACATCATGACATCAAACTTGGCTGAATCCATTAATGCTTTGGTGAAAGTTAATCATGAGTATCTGATAGTATGTCTTTTTGACTCTGTTAGGGTAATTATGACTAGGTGGTTCACTGAACGGCGTGAGCAAGGAATTCGTCATATCCACCCCTGTCACTTTTAAAGTTGGGAAAAAGATGAAGGAGTCATATGATAAAAAATCTCGCTGGCTAGAAGTCTTCAAAATTAATGACTCAGAATTTGAAGTTAAGGGTGATTCAAGAGATCAGGTGGTAAATTTTCAAACAAAGCATTGTTCATGCTTTCAGTTTGACGTTGAGAAGTATCCTTGTGCTCACGCTATTGCCGCTGCAAAATCTGGAAATAAGCGTGAAAACGACTATGTCGATGACTTCTTCTAAAATGAAAGGTTCGTTTTTCTCATTCACTGTTTATAAAACTTATCGAAATTATAAGGTTTCATAACACTTTTATCTATTCTTTTAATTTTATTATTAGGTTCACATTAGCATATCAGAGAGTATTTATCTAGTTGGTGATAAAGTATATTGGGATATTCCTTCCCATATAGCTTCTACGGTTTGTCGTCCTCCATCTACTCTCCATGAGGAAACAAAAAGAGGATTCCAAGTTCGTGGGAGCATGGAAAATATCCGTCAACATCCAAATCAACATCTTACAAATGTAGCAGATGTGGACAGAAAGGTCACAACAAGAGTAGTTGCGTAGTGCCAATTTGATAATAAGAGTACTATAAATACTTTCGTTATGAGTCTCTACAATTTCCATGACTTTATAAGGGTTTATAAGTTTATAAACTCTTATAAGTTGTTCGACTTCGACATTTTCTAAATCTTAAATCATTGTTTAATAATTCAATATCTTTTCTTACATGCCTTTATAAAATAGATTTATGATTCATTTTCACTAAAATCTTTTATCGCTTATTTTATAAGGGATTATAAAGTCTTATAAATTGTTCGACTTCGACATTTTTAAATCTTAAATCATTGTTTAATAGTTCAAAATCTTTTTTTATGAGTCTTTACATGCCTTTATAAAACAGATTTATGACTGATTTTCACTAAAAGTCTTGTATCCCTGATTTTATAATAGTTTATAAATTTATAAACCATTACAAATTATTCAAATCCGACATCATTGTTTTTTAGTTTATGATTCATTAGGATTTAACTTAATTTCATATTGTATATGTTCTCAAATGATTGATATCTTAGATTAACAGTATGAATAAAAACTAAATATGTTGCCATATCAAAGTACTATTGTTAAAACCAAAGGATAATTCCTTACCATAATGGATTAACATACAAAACAAAAGATATTTCCTTATCCGATTCAACAACAATAACTGATAACACTAAATAAGTTCATTGATATTAGTTAAAAGCACTAAAAACAAGCTAAACCAGACTACAAGTTATATTTCAAAATCATCCATACCCACCTCCTCATAAATCTCTGCATCCATCTTCAGTCGCAGTACTGGTATAGTCTCATCATTGAAGTCATCAACTTTCTTCCCTTTAGCTAGGCATTCAATGTATTTCAGAGTGTACACACCGCAATCTTTTGGGTTCTCATTCTTGGGAATCTTCTTATGCCTCAAGTAAGTGAACTGCTTAGTACACATTATAGGATCCACCATTTTGTTAAGTAATGCAGGAACCATTTTCATGAATGGCCTGCACTCCTCGCGCATCTGCGCTTCAGTCAAAATAGTTGGAATGCTATCATACACATTTATTACCTTTTTATGTAAATCAATGTGTAGAGAAATCCAGTGATTGTCGTTTACGTGGTGGCAGAGGAAGAGAGAGTCAACATCTACAAGCCACTTTTTATCAGTAATAAGATGTGCAGGATATTCTCCATTAAAGACCTTAATGTAAGTTTCTGACCACCCAAATGTCTTCTGATCATACTTTTTGTAGTCGTTGACCCATTTTTTCACAAACCAACGGTCCAAAAATGCAATTCGAGAAGAAGAATATGGAGATTGCGATTGCATTGAGCGTCTGTGAAACATAAGCATTACTGACGCCATGTGCTGTGACATAAAAATATAATAATCAGAATCGAATTAAGTACTTAGCTAAACAAATCACAAGCAAAAACTTACGGAGTCAAGCAGCCAGCCGTAACCATCTTTTGGCCAAGATTCTCTCGGTATCATCAGCTCCAAATAAAATTCTGCATTCCTCCCTTCATAACTGTACTTATCTTCGTTCCTACAATGAAAATCAAAGGATGAGATTGTAAAATTGACAAAATAGGTTTCTAGAGAGAAAACTTACAAATTATACTTAACGAAGTCCAAAACTTGTTGTATTTTCTCTTGATCAATATTTGATAGTGGTTCTTTGGAGACATATTTTACCACTTATGATCTTCTTCACTGTGTCCTCCAAACTTAAAGAAATTTCTTCCAAAGAATGACTTTTCTTTTGTTTCTTTGATCTGGAGGTGCTAGCATCATCTCTCTTCATAAGAATAACAATTTAAGAAAATAAGAAATGATATTTGAATATAAAAAGAACATATTTATAAACCACTATAAACAGAGTTGTTTACCTTTTTTCCTCTTGTCTCTATACATTGGTCGTGCTCTTTAGGTGCATCTTCATTTACCTCTTTCTCTTCTTCTTCTTCATGTGGATGTTTTTCACCTTTCCTCTTTTCCTAATATTTTAAGGCAAAAATATCTTAGCAATTTAAAAATTAATAAAGGGAAAAGCCTTACAAAAATATCAAAACAAGATAATCTGTCTAAGAGAATCTACAAAAGATTGGAAAATTCCAGCGTCACTAAATTTGGGCTGATCATTCAGTTTATTTGCAGTTTCTTGACCAATCTTCAAAATAGTTTCAAGATGCTTCACTCTGTTTTGAAGAAACTCTACCTCAGCGAGGAATTCAATCTTTTCTTTATCAGTAGCGTCAATCCCAGGTGCAGAGTTTTTTTGTTCCATTTCTGCCTCGGCAACATCAATGTTGACACTCCCATTAACCCAATCTTGTCTCTTCAAACGGTATCCTCTCTTCACAAGATCTAACACTCTTCCAAATTCATTGTCAACAACTTCTTCAACCAAATTGCCATGCAATTCTGGATCTCCAATAATACATTTGACATCAACCTGAAAAATGTATTTGCATGATTAAACAATCGATAGAAAAAAAAATAATACTGCAAAGATTACATCAGTTTTATAAGGCCTTATATATCGTTACCTTCTCATTAGTGTCAAATCTGATCACTTCTTCCACAGTCAGCGATTTGGTTTCTATCCAATGCAAACACAATGGATACTCTGTTTCCGGATCCTTAATTCCAAAGTAGTATTTATCTAGTTCATCCACAAAAGACAGTGCCCATAGATGAACTGCATATATGAATCCACAAATTTCATATTGTACCTTCTGCACCGTTTTAATGGAAATTTCCTTGATTTCCTTGCGTAAAAAATCATAAGCCATTTTTCCCCGCGGATACTTGCAA